TGAACTCCTGGGAGTTGCGCAGCGGCGTGTGGTAAGCCATGAACCGTGACGCTGTGGGACCAGGTATCAGCAGGCACCGGAGTCCCTGCCATGGGCAGCCAGAGCCCCCCATACCCACCCTGCTCCTGGAAGCCTGTGCACATGGTGGCCACAGCCCTGAGCCCCCTGCCCTGCCTCTCACAGTGCTCAGCCCCCAGCCCACGCTGGCAGTGCCCCCAGTGATACCCACCACTCACCCAGGATCTCGCCGCCGGGACCAACATCCACCGCAGTGTTGTAGGCACCAAGGCCACTGCACCAGGGACAGACGGGCAGGGGTGAGCGGGCACAGCCAGCCCAGTGGTGGGTGCCCCCAGTGCACCCCCCTCCAGCAGGCACCTACCCCTTGGGGCACTGCAGGGTGGGCCGGTCACCCAGGAACCAGGGCAGGAAGCGGTCAAAGTCAGTGGGTGATGGGCGGGCACCTGATGTCCCACCTGCCTGGCACTTGCCCAGCAGGCAGCTCAGCGAGGCTGGGGGCAAGGGCAAACCAGAAAGTGGGCACCTGCACCCCCATGCCCCACCTATGCTTCCCAGTGCCACCCAAAGCCCCCAAGTGCCCCCCAGTGTCACGCTGGTGTGCCCCAGGACTCCCAGTGCCTCCTAGCGCACCCCCAATGCCTTCTGTGCTCCCCAATGTCCCTTAGTGACCCCGCAAGAGCCAGCCCTCCCCCTGGGCACAGGTGAGGCCTCCCAGTGCCCCAGCCCCCCTACACCCACCCCACAGCAGGGCAGGGGGTGCAGCATGGTTAACCCCACTCAGTGCCACAGGTCAGGTGATGCCCAGTCCAAAACACTGGAGGGGCACAGTCCCTTTAGCCCCCTCCATGCCCCAGGAAGGGGTATTAACCCAGGGGGCACTTACAGTCCGTGGCGGGACAGAACTGCCCCTTCTTGGGCCCAAAGACATGGATGCGGCAGCAGCCGGATGTGGGGTTGAGCCAGTCAAGGAAGTCGTCCACCCACGATGTGGCTGGGATGGCCAGGTACGAGCTGGGGGGGCAGGGATTGGGAGGATGACACCCTTAGGAAGGGGGCTGTGGATTGGAAATGAGGGGCACTGGGGGGCCCTGCACTTACACGTTGGGGAACTCGGCAGCATACTGGATCTTCTGCATGAGCGAATTGTTGTCGCAGCCAGTGCTGGAGCAGACGCCGTCAATGCCAGCAGTCAAGGAGAAGTTGTAGCCGGATGTGGTGATGAAGAAGGTGGGGACACCCACCATGAAGTACTGGTTCAGCGCCTCAAAGTACTGCAACAGGTACGAGTCCTGGGGGGGGCAGTGCCGTCAAGGCTGGGGGTCAGGAGTGAGGGATTTCGATGGGGTTGGAGGGTCCGAGGGGCTGTGGGTTAAGAGTGAGGAGCACCCGCGGGCTGGGGATCAGGGGTCACCTCAGGCAGCGCCAGCTCCTGGTCTAGCCCCACTTCCAGTTGCAGCGTGAAATAGAGGCCAGCACAGAAGAGGAAGAAGAACAGCAGCATCTGGGGGCACAGGGTGGGGGGTTGGGGGGAAGAGGTGAGCCAGGCCCTAGATGCCTGGGTCCCTTTTACCTTCCCCACCAGCCCCTAGACACCTGGGTCCCACAGCCTGCACTCACTCACCACGACTGGCCGCACGCGTCGGTGCAGCAGGGCAGGGGCATAGTAGCGGTGCATCAGGGGCCGCAGCAGCCCTGAGTCCTGCCAGGCCCTCTGGCCCTTCTGGCAGCTGCAGCAGCAACACACGTCCCAGCGCCCGGCCTGTGGGGTCAGGGGAGCATGGCTGGGCTGCATTGAGATCCTGGCCCCCCACTCCTGCCCCCTACTGCCT